GCCCTGCTGCCTGCCATGCTCTGGGCTGCTCCCCAGCTCCTTTTAGATCTGGGATTGCTGGAGCAACATCCCATTCCCATTGCCTTGGCATCTCTCATGCGCTCGACTGTACAGACCCCATTCCCTGCTCTGCGTGCCCTCTCCGGGCCCTGGGCCTGGTTTTTGGTTCTGGTGTGTTGGTGTTTGGTGCTCGGAGGATGCAGGGCAGCAGTGCTGTCCCTGACCCGTTCCCGTCGCAGCTCGGGTGCTGAAGTGCCACGGAAGGGGCTGGCGATGGGTCGGGGGGGGCTGCGGGGTGCGCGGCCCAGGAAAAGGCTGCGTGTGGCTTTGGGGATCGCTTGGGGAAAAGCTGTCAAGGATAATTAAAAGAATAGTTCGGGCTCAGACACACGAGAGATGAGGCCAGGTGGAGATGGGGCAGGGAGACCCCATGCTCGTAGCCCTCGGCAGAGGCCTGGGGTCTGCGGGGGGGCTGGGGGGGCTGTGCCACCACCCCAAAGCTTTCTGCCAGGCTCCTGCACCGGTCGCAGCAGCGCATTTCCAGCCCGGGGACTCAGTGCTGGTCCTGTCCCCCAGGTCCTGCACTCGTCCCCATCCTTCCAGCATGTCCCTGCGCCACCGGGGGGGCTGCAGGCAGATGGGTCCCCCACCACCGTGAGCTCAGGGCCGGTCCTGCCGAGGGGTTTGCTACCAGCTCATGCCAGGACCTGCCAAACCACAGCGTCTGGCAGAGCCTCAGCTTCAAGCCATCGCCTGTCTCGACTCTTCGCTTGGTGCTCGCCCCGGCTCTGCTGGCCAGGGAAATTCCAGCTTCTCATGACGGCGGGGTTTTTTTTACCCTTTCTGCTGAATTTCTGCTGTTGTCCCCATGCTGTCCCCTCGTGCCACCCAGCTGGCGCCTCTTCCTCCCCATGAGCGTGGGCAGCTCAGTGTGAGCACAGCGCGAGGGTGGTCACAGTTGCCCCTCTGAATCTTCCAGCGCTGCCATTCCTGCCCACTGGCACCCATCACCGCAGCCCGGCCCTGGTGGGGCTCCGCTCCCAAGTCCTGTGTACAATGAGGAGGAAAATGCCCTTTGCCAGGGCTGCCCTTCCCGGACGGTGCTTGACCCAGCTCCCTGAAATGCATCTTTTTCCCTCGCCTCCTCCCTGGGGCGGAAGCCCAAGCGTGGAGCTCCCTGCAAGCGCAGCTTCTCCCGGAATAAGCCAGTTGTGATTTGTCCTTCCGTGCTTCCGCTCGTGCTGTTGGCGCTGCCGGAACCTGGCAGCCATGTGTTTCCAGGCCCTGGGCCGTGCTTCCCTGCTTCGTCACCCCCCCTGTGCCCCCAAACCGAGCCACGCACCCGCGTGCCGCGGGCGCAGCGTGACCATTCCCGCTCCCCGGGGCACAGCTCGGCTCGTGTCCTCGCTCCGTGCCCAGGCTCGAGGTGCTCCAGCTCCCGCCGTGTAACCCCCTTCCCGAGGGCTCCCGGGTCAGCGGCAGCTTTGGGCTCGGAGAGGCCACGGTGGCCGCGTGAGCGCTCCCGAGATTTTAGTTCGTTAGGTATATGCAATAATTAATAACTCGCCACTTCAGCTCTTCGTTACCAGCAGTAGTTCTCGATGCTCTTTCTGTTGATGTTTACTAATGTAAACCCAGTATTTGTTACTGTAAGAGGAATTTTTTTTTTTTTTTTTGTACGGTACTTCAAAAAAACCCACAAAAACT